TAGAAGTTGAGAAATTCAAAATTTTGCTTTATCAAAAACAAATATTTTAACACGAGGCAAAATTATGAGACAAATTGTTCTTCCATCATTTTATACTTTCCTCTTAAAAAGGGCATTAATTTTAGCAAATACTAGTCAAATTTGAAAAACACAATGAAGAAAAATGGAGAAATGAAAAAACTATAATCTAAGGAAAATAGTTTGTATGAAATAGTTACTTCATGTCAACATATATTCTTTTCTTTCAAATCATGTCATATAATTATATTAATGAAAAAAATTAATTAATTAATTATTATATATTACATATAATAATTAAGTGGCAAATATGTTATGTATAATAAATTATTGACTTTTTTAATTAACAGCATTGCGTAAAATAATTTGAATGAAAACATATATTAATATAAAATAATTGTTTTATATAATATTTTTTTATTGTTGAAATACTAACTTAGTATGTTATTGTAGTTACCTTAGAACAAAATGTTAATATGCTAAAAACAATTATTAGTGCCTTCCAAATTCAATGTTTAATACAAAAGTTACAACAAAATATTTTATTTTATTTTATTCTGATAAATTATTTCCGCGATTCCTAAAATTTGAGATGAATATGTTTTGGTCTCTAAGTTCTAAAAAGTAATATATTGATCTTTATAATTTAATGCTCGTAATGAAATGATATTTTCATCAGTCAAATTATTAGTTGAACCCTTAAATTAAAAGATAAAAAGAAAAATTACAAAATAAGATAATGTATTGATAATATTATAAGTTTAAGGCTAAGAGATAAAATAATTATAAAAAAATAAAAGTTTGATAAATTTTATTTTCTTAATTTATTTTTATGGATATTAATTCTTATATATTTTTTATTTTTATTTTTGTGATGCAATTTTTAAATTAATTAATTTTTTTATTTTTCAAAAAATAATTTGTTAAATTGTAATTAAACTTACCCATAAATTGAGCTCTCAACAAAATCCACAAGTTATACTTTGACTCAAATCGAGTAGTAAACATGATTTTTAAAGCTTACACTCAACCTAATTAAATTATTATTTTGTTAATAAAATATTTTTATTTTATTAATATTTTAAAATATATTTAAAAATATAAAAATATTTTATAATATTTTACTTTTTAATAGTAAAATGGGTCTATTCGAGTTTTTAATAGACAAGTCAAAATGCACCTTAAATGAGACTTTAAAAGTGTCATCCAAATTTGACTCAATTCGTAAAAATTTTTAATTATGATCCAAAATTAAATTTGTCATTTTTTATTAACAAGTGATAGTATGAATTTTATAATATTTTATTGAAAATAGTATACTAATATTTATTGATTTTTGAAGAAATATTTTATGCTAATTAAATATTGTAAAATAAATGACAAATGAATGATGAAATATTTTATGATGATTTATATTCTAATTGTGTGTTTTAACAAACAATAAATAAATTTGAAGAAAAATAGGTAATTTTTATTTTCAAGATAAGATACAAATTTCTTTTTTTTATCCTAAAATTGAACCCAAAAAAATATTTATTAACAAAATTAAGAGTAAAAATGTAATTTTATTTTTCTATAATTATCAAAATTACTAGTATTAAGTAAAAAATTTTATCATCATTCTTTTTTATAATTTTAGCATTTAACGGTTGCATTTACGATTTTGTTGACTGAAGGCGCATTTTATTATGATCATCAAAATATAGGAATTAATATATTACTTTTTAAAATTTATGAATCAAAATGATGCCCACTTCAAACTTAAAAGACCGCATAAGTAATTTACCTTTTTTATTTTATAACTTTTTCCCCTCGATGAGGAATTGACCATAGTCCAACCGACTTACATAAGATTTGATTATGAAAATTTTAAATAGTAAACTAGGACGTAGCCTTTAGCATCGTGAATCACATATGTAAAATTTATTTCATATAGTTTAAAATCGATTTTAGATTTTAAATTTTATAAAAATATATAATTAAAAAATAATTTTTTAATATCATAAATAAAAATAAAAATTAATATCATGAATGAATCATAAATTATAGTAAAATATTTAATATAATATTTAAAATTTAAAAATATATAATATAATACATGAATTATGAATTTATTAATTAATATAATACTTACCTTTAATATGACTAGTTCTAAATGATTATATGTGATGAATACAGAACCTTTCAAGTACTACATTAATTAATAGATTCATAATTTAATATCACATTAGAAATTTTTAAGATTCAGATACCATATTAAATATTTCACTATAATTTAGATATCCATATTAACTCTGAAAATTATAATCACCAATGAATCAAAAGTACAATTCAAAAATTAAATGTTACAAAAAAAACTATAAACCTCCATAATTTTTTTTTGGTAAAAGGTCTTCAAATTCAAAATTTCTATTGCTCATTTTTATTTATAAACAATAAGAAAAAATAAATTAACAAGAAATTTTGTACAATATAAAAATGATAAATAAATAATATACTAAAACAAAAATAAGTTTTTGTCCAAATAATATTATTTTTTTGTTTATATTTTAAAAATCTGCATGTTTATAATCAATTCAAAATAAGTGGATAAATACCTAGAACTATGAACCATCCTAATAATGTTTATGTCAAAAATTTTAGATGATCAGGATCATTCATTCAATCGATTTGATTAATTTTAAATTGAATTAACTAAAATTGAATTAATTAAATTAATTAATTTTATTTTTATTCACTGAGCCAAAATATTTATTTACAAAAATTAATCAACCAAAATATATTTGGTAGGTGTGATTAAAATTTTGATTAATTGAAATATAGACATTAAAGTTATTCACATATAAAAACATTTGTAAATTGTATGCAAAATATTCGGTTAACTGAATAATAATCGTAAACAAATTGAGTTGTTTGTTTGTTTCAATCTAAAAAGAAAATAATTGTCTTTTAGTAAAGAAGTGAGAATAAGAATAGGCAGAATTTCTTTTCATTGCTTTGAAACTTGGAAAACAAATTCTGCTCCATTACTTATCAACAAAACACTCATTTTCAGTAAATTTCAATAAAAATGAAAATGCTATAATTCAAATCAAACCAAAGAACTTTACAATATTAATCATATATAGTAACAATCCATAAATCAAACACAAGCTAAAACAAGAACCTAAGACGAAACACTAGAGAAAAACAAACCACATATAAACCAGAGTTACCGAAAGAAAAAAAAGAAAAAAAAGGAGGTGCTTGGAGGGAGGCTAAGTGCTGAGGCTCAATCTTGAGAAGAAGTGAAGAATAGAAAATAAAGTGGCTAAGAATAATGAATATTGAGGTTGAGGAAGGCAGAAATGAAATGAGAGTGTTTTAGGTTTAGGGCAACAATAAGCATATGTATGTAGCGGTGCATTTATCATGAGTAATTTCAATTAATTGTATGGTTAAATTGGTTTTTTAATCAATGTAATCAAAAATCAAAATTTTATTTAAATTACTCTTGATAATTGAATAGAATTAATTTAATTTAATTTTGATTAATTGAATTAAATTGATTTGGTCGATTATTTCTATTGAAATCAAATTATGAACATTTCTACCATTCATTAAGAGATTGTTGCTCACCCCATTTAAGGCATTTTTAATATTTATATATTTAAAAGACCACATAGAGGTTTCTTTTTTTTTTTTTTTATTTCTTTCTTTTACCTTTTGCATTAGAAACTATGTATATAAATTATAGCTCGAAAAATGTAAGGAGATTTTTTCAAAAGGTTTTTAAAACTTATAGCTAGAAAAATTTATAGCTTATGGCTAGAAAAATTTATAGTGAGGTGTTTTCAAAATGTTTTCTCGAGTAAATAATTTAATAGGCTATATCAAAGTATTGAGAAGCATTACAATTTTCTTTTTTTTTTTTTTTTATAAAAAAAGTTGTAAGTTGAGAATAAAAAAATATTATAAATATTAAAATTTGAATCTTAAATTTATTAAATACTATCTTTTAAAATAATTATATGAACTAATAAATTTAAACTTCAACTTTAATATAATATAATAAAATAAGAATTTCAAGTGATGAAAAAAGTCACATAGATATTAAATATATGAATAGAGATTTAAATAAACAATTGATAAAAATAAATTTAATTAATCAAAAAATTTTCGCAGAGAATTTGTGGTTGTAACATGTTTGGGATTTTTTTATCAATGAGATGAAACCCGAATTTTAATCATTTAATTAGAAAATTTTTTAACTTACTGTAGTAAATAAAAAAGAATTTTTTATCTCAATATAATTTTGCGATTCACTAGTTCCAATAAAATAAATCTGGCTTGTTATTATATCGTGAAATAAATAAAAAAAAATTAGTAAATTAACAAACAAAGAACATCCAAAGATGCACAGAAAGTTGGAATATTACATTTTTATTAGACTTTTCGCTCGAATAAAAAGATTTTAGAAAAAAAAAGTGAAAAAAAAACCAAAAAATGTAGCTAAAACCCAAATTTGTTATAATGGCCTGAAATATAAACTATCTTTATTCACCTTTAAATAGAATAAAATGACATGACACTCTTATATCATGCTAGGTTAGGATCATTTTGGTCATACAAATTAGAAGGATTAAACTGAAGAAAATATATATTTTTTGGTATAAAAATATCACAATCTAAAAATAAAATTTAATTAAATATTATTTTTAAAAATAATTGTATAAACTAAATAAATTAAATTTTTAGTTTACGAATTAACTACATATATATATATATATATATATATATATATATATATATATAACGTAAAAGAAGAGTCAGAGGATGAATGATGAACATAAAAGAAGAGTTAAGGGATGACGATGGCATTAATTTTAGATTAGAATTATACAGTATATGCAACTCCAGACACACCCCAACTCATTTTCTAAATGTCAGTCCTTATATCAGGACACATTACAGCTTAGAAAAACACTCGTACCAACGACCGGTTAGTTCTTTACCCAAACCAAGTTGCGAAGATAAAACATCTTCTTCAGGGTCTTCATCACCGTCAACATGCTCTTACTCTGCCGCTTGTGGTAAATCATCCCACTGCCTATGCCTGTTTTGGTCATCTTCGAGGCATGGGCCCGGGCCTGAGCCTGACCGTTGTAAAGCTCCAGTGACGACTCTCTGCTGGGCTCTGCGAATATTCCAGTACCGCTTCCCCTTGATGATACTACTCTCGCATCTTTTCTGCTGCTCGAGGAAGAGACCCGTTTCAGTTCTTCATTGAACTCCTCCCACAGCATGTCCATTTTCTCCGGATCATCACTTTCTCTCTTATTCGCTTCCCTTTCTGATAAGCAGGCGATCGAGAAGCTCTTCCTTTGGAGGCCCAGTACTTGACTGTCAACATCCTCTTCATTATCTCCATATTCTGGATAGACCAAGGAAGTTACTCGCCATAACGATGGTAAAGATGTCAATTGAGGCAAAGGGTTGGTGATTTTTGGGAAGCTAAAATCATCTGAGACCATTCTGATCCGAGTAGAAAGAATCAAAGACTCAAACAAAAATATATGCGTGTGGAAGTGGAATGGGGAAATTAGAAACAAAGTCAAGCATCTGCTATTGGTGAGAATTGGGGTCATCCCAGCTAACGCCGGATTGTTCGGAGAAGAAATTTGATGGGAAGAGCAATATGCACATAAATTACATGATTTATTATGCTTTAGCATACATGGATTTTGATTGTTGAAAGCTACATACATATGACCCTTTCCGCACTCTATTAATTTGGTGTCTTTTAAACATTTTTACACCATGAAAATGTCAATTGCTATTTTACTTTTATGTAACCCAATGAAAAATATCAATAGATAAATTTCAGTTTTATAAGAAAATATCACTCACGGAAGCTACGTTTGAATTGTTTACACGAAAAATAATATGGATTGGAGTGAAAATAAATATATCTTCCCTCCCCACCCAAATTGTTTATCCCTCCTTGAATTTTATGAATATTTGAAAAAAAAAGCTTTAATTTTAATGTATTTGACATAAAAGGTTAAAATATTTTTTTTATAAGATCGATGTTTCATGGTTTTCATGTTTAAAAGTAAAAACAATTATGAAAAATAATTTTAAAATATAAAAAGTTAAGTATTCAAAAAAGAAAAGAGATATAATTTGACCCATTAAAAAATGGATAAAAAATAGAACCAGAGAATAAAATGATTTCTTGGTACACTTTCTTTTGTTTGGTTCAAAACAAAACACTCTTTATTATTAAGAGTACAAAATATAAGGGCTTCTGAATCATCTGAAAATCCATTCATTTAAATAATAAAAAGTTTGATTAGGAGTGGATATATATATATATATATATTATATATAATCATTTTAGTCAAATAATAATAATAAAACAAAAATTAAGCCATCAATAAATGTTTAATGTTGCTGACTTTTTGTTGACTAGTTCATTGGCTTTATGTGGTTAATTGGTGGTCTTGCCGTCTACCCTGCGCTGGGCATTGGGCCATCTTAGATGCCGTGCTGCCTTTCTCCTCGAAACTTTCCCCCCACTCAACAAAGATTTAGTTTACCCTGCTGATGTAACAAAAAAAAAAAAGTTTAGTTTGGCTATTGCCTATACATGTTTTCTCAAATGCGCATGGTCGTTGTCAGGGAATATTTGGTTTGCAAATTTTAAAAATTTTCGTAGAAAGATTTTTTTATTTAGTTTGAGAAATGTGATATTAAGAGATTTTTAAGATGTCTAACGATGTTAAAAAAGGAAGAAAACAATTAAAACAAAAAAATTTTTCTCATCTTGAGGCTTTTTAAAGATTTTTTATGAAAAATAAAATTTATCTCGACCCTAAACAATTATACCTTTCAATATTATAAAAATTATGCCATAAACCAAAACTAACCTAACAAGCACAAAGGCATTCAAAGCCCGACATTTGACATATGGTATGTACATGAAAAAAATATCATTTTATCCAAAATAAAAATTAATTCAATTATTTTACTTTACTTTTTTTATTGAATTTTTGAATAATTAATTTGATTTTATTTGATAAAGATATAATATAAAAATTGTTAATGTATATGTATTATGTCAATGATATTTCAATTATTTAAAATTAACAAAATATTATAATAAAATATTTATTTTCAAACAAAAAAATTTTTGTTCAATAAACAATATTTCTTATAATAAATGATGTTATTTAATTATATAATAGATGACGTTTCACTGTAAGAAAAATGTGTTTTAGTGAAAACTTTGACGTGGATCAAGTATTGACTCTCGTTAAAAACTCTTTTTGTAGTGAGGGCTATCATAACTTTTATTAAGAGTAATTTTAGTGAGTAATATATTTTTACCCTCACTAAAAGTTATTCTATTGTGAGAATCACAAATGGTCTTGGCTAAATTAATATTTTTTATAAGAATCTAAAATTGATTCTCACAAATTTATTTTACAAATATAAAATTTCACAGCTATAATTGAGATTGAAGTTGAAAATGAATACAAATAGATTTAGTAAAGGTCACAATAAAATTTATTAACTTATATATATTTTAAAAATTAAACAATATAAATAAAATTTTTTGTAAATTTTGTGAAAGTTATTGTAATATCATAAAAAATATATTTTTTAATAGTAACCAAAACTAAAAAAATTATATTTAGTGCAAAAAATTCTACAAAAGCAGTAAATAAAAAATTATTATCATGATTTATGATTTTATTGAAAGTTAATATTCAAAGGCAAAAAATTAGATAGTCATTATTCTTGAGAAAAAAATTCAAAAGTGAACCTCGCCACAATTTTTTATCGTGAATTAATAAAACAAAATTGAACATAAGAATCTTTTTTATTTGAAAACAAGGCAAAGAAAAATAATTTTATCTCTAGGGAAAGAAAAATAATTCTCACTCAACCAAGAAGAACTAGGGTTTCTTTTTTGCCCCCAATTTAGCATTGTCACCGAGGCTGCGCTGGTCACCACCACCGACGCTGTCACCATTACTGCCACTGTCCCTCTCTCTTCTTAATAAGCCTAGTCATCACGGAGCAACAAGCAGCACCCTTCGATTCCTTTTTGTTTTAGACCTCAATCACTGCTGAGCTGCTCCTCGATTTTTTTTCTTTAATCAAAAGAATTCAATGAAATGGCAACTTATTCTTTGAAGAAATTCGATATGAAGAAATGGATAAACTCGGTGCGCAAGACTCGGCACCCTCAAGACTCCCTCGACAAGCACATGGTGGATCTCAAAATGAAGTTCCAAATGGTCTCCGAAGAGATCGCCGTTTCGCTAGAGGAGTAAAGCGTTGCCATTTTCCTCCATGTTCCTCGCGCCACTCGTGACGTCCTCGGACTTCGCGACGACGCCGTTTCTCTCCTTAATTCTGTCGTCGGCCCTTAACCTTTTAGATCTTATCTCAATTCAATATTGCTTTCGATCTCGAGAAAATTTCGAAACTTGAAATGTTCCTCGTTGATTGAAAGCCAAAATCATAATGTATTAAAGCTCAATTGAGATTCAATCCTCTTAAATACAGAATTAAGCTAAAAAGTTAACTGATTTGAGTAATTTGACACCTATATTTCGCTATGTTCCAATGCTGTAAATAGGATTTGCTTTTGGTTTTATAATTAATTCATGGATTTGAAGAGGAGCTTAGTTTTCTCTTAGTGATCTTGCAACCAATTGGGTCTTATATATAAACCAATTGCTTTAGGATTTATAATTCAGAAATACTCCCTAACCAATTGGGTCTTATAATTAATTCCTGGATTTGAGGTGGAACTTAGTTTTCTCTTAGTGATCTTGCAACAAAGGTAGGTCAGGTGCATATTTAGCTAGGATATGAACAACAGAATTTTAAAAATGTTGCCTGTTACCTTTTTATCAGAAACGTAGTATTTTTTCTGTCTTAGCTATACCTCAAAGCTCAAATATTCATTGTTTTTGTTTTTTACTTCCCTGGTAGGCTAACAACACCAATCATTTGGTGATTCGTACAAGGGGCTATCTTTTTGCTCCATCATTTGCTGATATATGACAAGCTGTAGATTTCATACATGGTATGTGTCTTCTAGGATTTGCATTCATGTTAGACGAGTCTAACTTTTCTGGTTAGACTTTTACTTATTTTTCCGGTTGGAATACTTTGTGGCTCCAATATCGGAGAATTAAAGACGCATGCTAGCAAGCTAAAGCTTACAACCAAGTGCTAAGCAAGATCCTGGTAAACAACTGCTCCATGAGAATTTTGTCTTTTCAATTAATGCAAATGTGGGCAACATTCTCTTTTGATACTTGGTCGATATAGACCAAAAATTTATGCTTTAACTTTTGTGCATTGTTTATGAGTTTATTTTATAATAATAGTAGTTTATATTTCAACTTAATATTTGATATACTGTCTGTATAATTTTTTAATTTCATAAACGAAATTAAGAGGTTGATACATATTTTATTTTTTTAATTAATTTTTTATTTTTATAAAATATATTTTAGAGGATAAAATCTCACCTTATTAACTTTAGTTATGTAATCTTAAAAACTCTATTGACAATAAATGAAATAATTTCTTTTAATGCCGGGATAAGACTTGAGTTTTCTTCTTAAAGATTTCATTTAATTATATTAAATGCTCCAGCTAGATTTAGCGATGAATGCCGTGGTGAGTCAGAAGTATGCCCCTTTAAGAGATGGATAACACTTATGGTTGTATAATATAACACCGTATTAACAAAAAAAAAAAAAAAAACTTGTTCACTATCTTAACACATGAATCCACATTGATCTCTACCCATATGTTACGTAATTGTAGCAAAAATTTATGGCCGTTTTAGGTTAGAAAAAAAAAGGCATGATCTAACAATAACTAGGCAAAAGATCAGAAATGATATTGAAAATTGAATTTAAAAGTACAAGAGTTTGAAAATTAAGTCGTTTAAATTAAATGGAATGATTAAAATCTCTTATTTTTATAGGTAGGCTTGCCAGTTTAGTTGGGAAAGTTAAAATTACAAGAGTTTGAAAATTAAGTTCAAATGGTATTCACTCACTTGAAGCTATTCTCGATGGCAAAAAAGAGGTCTTGAAATTTTTAGCTCTCGGTTCAAGTCTCAAATTCTAGTTCAATTTTATGTTAATTTGTTTGTTTAATTTCTTGCATGGATGTATTATTCACTACAAGAAAAATGGATGTACTGAAGAAAGTGCATTTAAATGCATTTTGATGTTTTTGTTTTTTTTCCTCTTTTTGTTAGCACAATTGTTACACTTGCATTGACTTTTCTTAATGTGCCCTATAACTTGCAGCCTTGACAGCAATAAGGAAAAGTAACGGTGATACAAAAGATAACAGGTAAATTCTACTTGTGATCACTTAAATACATCCTTTTGCTAACACTGGAAATGTTTAATATATTTGTTTCCTTCTATCTGGAATTGAACCAAGTTGAGTACAAGCTTTAATGAAACTATTATTGAGACTGCTGCAA